CCCTTGCCCTCCCCCCCCCCCCACCATTCGACCAAAATCCAACGCGACCCACGCTCTCTTACAGCGCACACGGCGGACGACGCCCGCGATCAACCGGAGAGAGAGAGAGAGAGAGAGAGAGAGAAAGAGACTCGCACGCGTGTACGCGCGCGCGTGTGTGTGCGCATCGCACGTTCCATTCGGCATCGACGCGAGAGTTCTACGTGCACATAAGGTAGAACGGAGGAACGTCTTCTAACGAATGCCTCACGAGGACGCTATGTGACTCCGATTGTATGAGCGTACAGCGCACCTGCGAACACGGTGCTGCGAAGGTACGCCGACAGGATCCTGCGCGCGCGGACTGTGTCCCACAGTGCTCGCTCCTTTCACGCGACTTCCCGTCCGATTCGTAACCCGAAAGAATCGCTGAGCCACTTCCAGGGAGGCTCGAATAATAATGCGCTGCCGTCGCAGCTCCCGCGCAACAGTGTCGTCTCGAATCCTTCGCGTGGTAATCTCGCGGTAGTACTCTAAGGATAACTGCCACCGACGGTGAAAACGAGCGTCTTGGAAAATTCCTACCCGCGTCGCAACCGCTCCGGTCGTTCCACCGATGACGACGCCGCCGTGGTCGCCCGAGGTGCAAAGCCGCGGCGTCGACGCGTGAATCCCCGAGGATGCAGCAGGCCAGCGTGGGCGGCTGCGACGAGGACTCCGGCGCGGCGAGTCCACCGGCGACGAGATCGCCGGCTGACTTCGCGATCAAGAGCGAACCCGTCGCGGACAAGAACGACGGCGGCGGGGTGAGGGTTAAGGTCGAGATGCCCGAGCCAACGGAGGCCGGCTCGGTCGAGGTCAAAGGCGAGCCGCGGGAGGACTACCAGCGGCAGCTCAACGACGGCTATCACTACGAACGTAACGACAAGAAGCCGGGCTACGTCCCGGACGCTCCTGGACAGTGCCAACAGCCGCACCAAGGATACCGTCCCGTGGCATTGCCTCCGAATTCGTTCGGCTTCCCGCCCTTCTACGGGCACCACCACCACCATCCCACCATGATGCCGGCGTCTTTCCCCGGCGGACGGCCGTCGCCGGACGGACCGATCGGCAAGATCGGCGACGGTCATGAGCAGCAGGCGGCCTCGCACGCCGTCGAGCGACACGTGGCCGCCTACGGCAGGATGCCGCCGCCGATCCCCAACGACGGCTTCCTGCAGGAGCACCATCACCGCTACGACGCCGGCGACTTTCCCAACCCCGGAGTACCGTACCCCGGCTTCCGGCCCACCATCTCGCGCTCGCCGTACGGCAATCATCAGAATAACAGCGTCTACAATCGAAGCGGCCACTATCACCCGACCAGGCAGCGCAAGTGGAGCAGCGCTGCGTTTCGCGGACTGCATCCGCCGATGCCTGTGAGTTTGCATGTCGTTGCGATTTAGGCGTGTGCGATCGCGCGCATTGTTCTGCACGGAGAGAAACTTCGCTACCGCTGCAGATTCATTTGTTAAATCAGTTACTATGGCGACGGAAACGAGAAGATCTGTTGAGAATATCAATCGCCTTCGCTGAGTGGTACTGGACGGCGAAATAACTGGTTAATGCCGGTTAAATTGTATCGCTGTCGGCAACGGCGCTTCGCTGCAAGGGAAAAATGATTTTTGCCGCGCGACAAATCTTTTCCTCTCTCGTCACAGTGACTGACAAATCCGGCGTGCTAGCAAAATATTCTTTCTCCGAGTGGTCAGCTTTGCTCGTAATCTTCAATGAGGCTCACGGGTTTATATGAGACATAAAACTTATACTCGACGACTTGGGTCAACGACTCTCACACTTCTTTTGCTCTTTCGAGATTCCGAAAGGAGAGATCACTGCGACCAATGCGTTGTATCTCGCTTTGAATTACGCGGCCATTCGGAACGCTACGGGACTCGCAGTAGGAACAATGCCTCTGTGACGAAAGCGGGAATATCGCGTCCGTCGTGATCGCGCGATTTTATTGAGGCCCGATAAGATCGGTAATCGGAGAATGGAGAGATAGCATCGCGTATCGGGCGACGTAGGCGGCAGTGGAAATTTCATTTTTCGCCCTCCGTATGCGAATCATCGCCGGGAGAAAGGAACGCGAGGTTTCCCGAGCACGCAAACGGCACGTCTTCGATTTCGTGCGAACGACGCGTTATTGCGCGCCCTGCTATATATAATCGAAATTTCTTCATCTTCCGCGCACGTCATAGATCAGATCGGCCTGTGCACGACGCCGCGCCGGGGTGTCCAATACGAAGGGAAACGATGTCGACAATCATTGCGAATTAATACACGACCTCTTCTTTCGTTTTTGAGAAAATGCGTATTTTCTCACTCGAATAAATTTTCCCTCGACATAAAAATACGTACGTTCGTACGAGCATGTTTATATATATATTTTCTCTCGGTGTATACTTGCAAATTAATGTGAAGAGAGAAAATCGGAGAGAAATGGACTTACGTTGCTTTCAACACGAGCGACTCATATATCACGGCGCACAATGACGCTTGAGTCAGATATACAATTTTTTTCGCTGTACGCTCGCTATAATCTTCCGTCCCGAATCTCCAGGGCGGGTATTCAGTGCGAATATTTCGCGAGTGGTGGTATCGTTCCCGGTTAAGAATCAGGTCGCTGAGAAAGTCGTGACGCGTGCGATACGCCGAGGTAGTAGGGTGCGTTCGTAGAAAAAGCGCACGAGGGCAAGAAAGTGCTACGTAATGCAGGATCCGACGCAATTAGCTCGTCACGTCGTGTTATCGTCGCGCGACCCGCGACGAACACCGCCGGGGGTGCGCCGGCATGAACCCTTTTCAGCTGCATAACGCTAATCGAAAGATCGAAGATCGCTCCGATTTATCGTTGACGTTTCGGCGTAACAGCTGACTCGCGTCCATTACCGAGGGCGGTAATTACTTCGTCTCGAAGGAATTTTTCCCAATGCGTTTCAACGTCCAACGATTAATTTTCGTAATCTAACGCGAGTTGCAGCCTGTACCACGGCAGTGACGCGTTAAAATTTCTTTTTGTTTCCCCACATGGGGAAAAATAATTTTGTTGTTGTAGCGAAATCATCGTCGGGACAGCCGGAAAATTTACTTGGCATAATCGAATTAGCAAATTATCCGTAATTAAAGCAGAAACAGTTCCGTCGCCGTGATAAAAAAATATTCCGCCGAGTAAATACGTGCTTGGAACGTGTTGATTTGCTGTTAGAACAAAACAGTGTGTTTCTACTTATTCACTGTGTTTGTTCTTACAGGAGAATAATTTGTAGATTCAGCGAGACAACCTGGCGAATGGCAATTAGTACTCTTAACAAATCGTCCCGCTGTTCGCGGAGTAACTGACAGATTTTGCGGCGGCAGTGCATAAAATTTGTCGCGTCGGCAAATTATTTTTCTTCGCAGGATTAAAGCGCAATAGAGAACCTCTTCGGACGTAATTTTCTTGCGTTCTCGAAATAGAGGAGTTAAAGAAAACTTCAAGGTGATATCTCGCTTGCTCTCTTTCTCTCTGTCTGTCCGTCTCTATCTCGTCTTTTTCCCACGACGTCGCTTCCGCGAGACGTTGTGTGCGATTGAAATCGCCATGCCGCGGAATGAAGGATTAATGAAATCGGGACGAGTCGCGATCGCGAGCGGGCAAAAATTTCGGCCGAAATTACAGTGATTACACGCGGCACGATTCTGCCCCTCGGGGGAGGACTCGGCGCGCACCCTCTCTCGCCCTCTCCCTCGAAAAGGGAACCCCCGGGCTGCCGGCTACAGTGATACAAGCCTCATTGAGAGTTTGGCCGATTTATAAGCGGGCGGCGATGGGTCGGTTCGCTCGACGATTACCGTAACGCCGCGCTCGTAAAACAGATGCGCGTGCTCCGCGTCCATTATGACGTAATCCGCCGCTTCTTATAATTTATCGCCGGGGCCGGTGAGTGAGCGAGCGAGCGAGCGGGTCGGGAATAAATATCGTTCGAAATTTCAGTTAAGCGGCCGCATTAATTTACGGGACGACGATTAGCGCGTCGAACTCGCGAACCGATTCCGCCTCGCAGTTTTCGACGAGGGGCCCGAGATTAGCCGGGCTAGCTAATGCGCGCGTGCCACCTCTCGTCCGGTTCTTTCGCTTTATGGCGCCGCGTTTCCAAATTTATGACGCGAGAACGATTCAACTGGTGGCAACTCGTGAAACGCTCGGGCTGTAATAACAACGGCCGATTCGATTCGTTCGCGCTTGTTACACGACTCCACCGACTCGCCCTCCCTCCAACCCTCTACCCGGCCCGAGACGCGGGTGGGACGCTTAAAGAGTTTCACGAGAACGACCTTATCAACGATCGTACGAGTCGCGTCGATCGCGCTCAGGCGTGACTCACTCCCCGCGGGAAGAGATCTATCGCCGTTCGCTCGCGGAAAGTATGAGAAATGCATCGGGTATAACGCGGCGGAACGGTTCGCGCGGGGGAGATATACTTGCTCTCTTGACGCTCGTAATCTATACCGGCGTATCGTTGCGAGCGCTTTCAACGAGCACCTTCGAATTACCTTTAACCCTTCGAATCGCTTGCGACTTCACTTCCTAACCGATTCGTAAAAGTTCGCCCATTTCGCGACAGTATCGTGCGGGGTGTGTCGATATTTCACTATTCAAGTTATTTTAATATCTCATTTAACTGCACCGATACTTTGGCGGCAGTGTAGTTATATGAGGTGCGCTATTAACGAGTGAAAAGTTAGTTTTGTAGGATCGACTAGAACGAATGTTCCAGATACACAGAGAAGAAGACTATTTTTGTAGTTGGTATACGTGTTTGTTTTACTTGAGTTTGCTTTTAGCGTAAACAACATAATTTAATATCAAATATCATTTTGTGTGAATAAAATCATCTTTTTGTTTCACTAGAGTAAACCGTTTGGCGGGGGAGAAAAACGGTATTATTTAGAGGAAATAATATATTTCGTTTTCAATTAAAAAAATTGATTTTCTTCATATTCAATATATTGAATATTGTCCCATCGAAATAAAAAGCTCTTTAATATCTTTCTATGGTGTTACTTCTTTCAAATAATTTCTCGTTTGTGACAACCAATTGTGATATTTGGGTGAAAATACAAAAGAAATATGTTATTTGACTTAAAATAATACTTACTGTTCGAGGAACCAAACAATTCTGTTTGTCGAATCGAGCATGCGTTTGTTTGCCCCAATGAAATTTTCTCAAATCCAAAGAAATTTGCTTCTACTCGGCCAAATGGGTGCGATGAAAATTTCAGAAGAACTCGATCCAGCCGATGGTGAAACTATCTGGTTTCGTCCATCCAGCTGTTGAATTCTACCCGGATGCATCCGAATATACCGCAACGGGACGGTCCGCGCGGCATCGGTGCTCCAGAAACGCGCGCTCCGGCATCCCGCAATCGGCGATCGCTCCAAAAGGGGGCGGCCGGCTAGGCTAGGCGCGACCTCGTGAGAGAAGGAAAAAGAAGGGAAGAAAAAGAGAGAGTTTCGCAGCATCCGAAAGCGCGCTGCAGCTCGCTTCTCTCATCTGCATACCGTTCCGTCCCGCGTAACGACCGCGTTCATCTTCCGCGGGTACGCACCTGTATCGAGATAACGCTCCGTAACGTATGCCTGCAACGAATAAGGGCATTGAATCGAAGCCGATCCCTTCGGCTCCATTTCGCAGCGCTCGCTCGCTCGGCCGCGATCTCGCGCGACTAAGTCGCGCGCGGCCGAAGGCGCGAATCAGTCTATAAATTTCGCATACGGGAAGTCGCGCACCTGCGGCAACCGCGGCGGTACTACCGCTCGCGCGCGCGAGAGGTGATCGGTGTCGCGATAGCGCGGAACATTTCTCATTTGCTTGGCGCGTACGACGACGTGGCTCGTTTGTCGCGGGAGTTGCGACGTCGACTCGCGAGAGAGAGAGCGAGCTTCAGTTCCGTGCCGTTGATCGGCCGACCGGTCTCTCGCGTCGGCGAGGAACGTTCAAACGCACTGTGTCCCCGATAAACCGTGAAACCTCGGGGTTGTTATCACGGGGTATAGGATAGGGAGAGGGTTGACATCACGTCCGGTCTCAGTAGCCGCTACGAAAGCGGTTTTGCTGTCGCACACAGAACGACGGCGAATATTAATTGATGGTTGTATCTCGATAACGTACGAAAGGAATTGCATCCTACGCGTTAAAATGCGATGCGCGAGTAGCCTCACGATCTCGTATCCACGAGTGAAGAAAAACCCGGTTTAATAACTGCGTACAGCGTGATATCTTTGATGCGCACGCGAATGCGCATACATCTGCGTCGGTAAATGTAACATCTTATTCCGATCGACGGACGCGTTTGTCGCGCCGGGCAAAAAGTCGCATGTATCCATATAAAATAC